TTAGTCCTAAATTACGATTGCCACCTCTCCCCCCCCCCATCTTTTTTTCCCTGAGAGTCTTCTTATTTGTAACATCTAGGCAGGCAAGTATAACATTCTCCTTTCCATGCTAGGAACAACTGGATCTACTGAAGTTGGTTTTTGCAAATATGGGGGGAAATTTTGTTTCTGTTCATTTTCTAAGAATTTGCTCAAACCTGCAAACTTTATATTTAAGACAGAAAGAATTTGAGATTTAGAACCTTTGAATGTCAGAGAAAGTGAAAGAGATTTTCTCATCCCTGGTATTAATCAAAGGGCAAATATTTTACTAAAGCTAAAGCTTTACTTTGTCTTTTTTTTTCCTATGAAGAGAGCAAAAACAACTCCAAGTTCAGCTAGAACTAACGTTACACTGCCTGAAAAATGCTGAATTAATAACATCCAACATGAACATTTGCTACCAAAACAGTGGGCGTGGGGTTGCAAAAAAAGCCCAAACCATAGAGATCAAAAGCAACGCAAAAAGGAAATCGGTGCAGATCCCATCGTATGGCTGAATCTGTGCTAAGCATCTGAGTTGCAGTCTTGGCCAGCTGCCTGTCTCCAGAGCTCACCTGGTGCTTATCTAACAGAAACTGCATGTCATTTCCAATTTCTTACAAGTGTTTCAGACCTGGTGCTAATGAGAAGCTGCAGCTTTCCAGAACAACTGCCTACATTGGCAAGGAAATTAGCTGCTTGATGGCAGAGGGATCAGGTTGAAAGACAAGGCACAGAATGTTGCACCTTAGAGGATATATAAGATATCTTTACATAGCTGTAAATCGCAAGGAGCAATTTCCAAAGAAAACAAGGTGACATTGTGCATGGAAGCTACATCAGATATAATACTGCTTTCTACTAAAACATCTGTACTGTTTCTTTAGCCATTCCCTCCTTTCTTCATTCCTAGCACATGAAGTGCTTCATATAGCTTGCGGATTCTGTGCTACACCTCAGTCATGATTCCAAATATTCATTACATTTCTTAAATTTAACTCTGTAGCAGATTTGATCACACTTACCCTGCAGCAGGAGACACAACGTTCTTACATCAAGAAACCTAAAGGGTGGCAAGAACTGTATCCCCCCCCCAAAAAAAAACCTTGAGAGCTGGCAGTTTGTGGTTTGGCTTACCTGATCTTAGAACTGCCAAACTGGGAGGGACCCTTTGGATCATCCAGTCCAGCCCCTGTCAAGGAGGCACAGTAGGGGAACTGAGCTCTCAACCTCTGGTTCTGCAGCCAGATGTCTAAGCCACTGAGTTATTTAAAGGTTTTGGACCTACTGTCATAGGAGACAAGACCTCTGTTCCTGCCACCCTCAGTCGGAGGAAGGTTAACATTGCCAAGGAGTGATAGTGGGTCTCAGTGGTCATTTTAATCAAAGTCATGTTTTACTACTAAAAGCTTCAGTGTATCCTAAAGAGTACAGAAACTTCAATTCTGTTTCTTAACTGTACCGGGAAGGGAAGGAAGACACCTGGGGATCAGGTTACTGCAAGATAAAAAACATCAACAAGAACAAAAAGGACTGTGCCCTTTTTAAGACTAGCATACTAGCATTATATATTTTTTTTTAACTTAAATTGTCAGAAAATCTTATTTTTAATTTTAAACATCAGATTTCTGGACAATTTAAATTTAAAAAAATGATGTTAATTACTACCACTATCAAATCTACTTTAATACAGTATTTCTTTAGGCACAAAATCTCAACAAAAGACTAAAATTTGTTTTCTTAAAGGTGCCACAATACATTCTTGTTTTGTTTTTCTCAAACAGATGATCTCTCTGAACAGGATAAACACAGGTTTCCTACTCACTGATCTAGAACAAAACATTCAGAAGATGCTGCTCTCTCATACAACAAACAATGTTATGGAAAAGAAGAAAGCCATCACCTTTAAAGCACAGAATATACCTGGGGCCTCGGTAACTGTCTGAAGGCGTGTTCTGTAAGAGCATAAAAATGTGAGGCAGACTCTTTCAAGACTGCTCCCCAGCAAGAATGGGATTACTGTCAGGAACCTATTGCAGAGCAGTGAAGGAAGAAAGCAGCACTTTGTTTTCTCTTCTGCAAAAGGTCTCTCTCCTTTCCTTGAGTGACAAAAATAATAATTCATTGCTTCTCGGGAGACAAAGGTATCAGGACAAGTCACAAAAGTACAACCATTCTCCCCCGCCTCATTCTACTTTGAAGTTATACTTCTTGACAGTTTTGCAGGAAGGATGAAGCCCAATTACAATTTTTAGCACTAACACTAGTGACCTTTAGCAAGGAGAAACCAAGATGCACCTTTTAAACTGGCAGAGGGATCAGGCTGAAAAACATGGCATAGAACGCTGCACCTTTGATTTTTGTGCCCATGCTTCAAACAGCAGGCAATGTTTCTACAACATGATAGAAGCAGCACTTGTCATCTTCTCTGAACACTAACTAACTCAACCTTGGGAAAGCGCTTTTTAGAAATAATTAGTTTCAGTTATACTTCTGAGCCTCCAGGTGGTTAGTTACCGCCATAATTGCAATTATTAAGACAGTACCTCTTTCCCACTTCTTGAATCTAATTAAAATAGTTTCATTTAGTTAATTTTTTTAAAATAAAGTGCTACAAATTGATGTCCTACAAGACATCATTCTCTCCTCCCATCCACTTCATTCCCTTGTCAAGATCTACAATGAAGCATGAGCCATCACTTTAGCCACATGATAGTCCTACTGTGCTATTTAATCTATTATCCCTCCTTTATTTAGTCCCTGTAACTATAACAGTAACATAAAAGCTGCAGCTACGAGACATGATCTCTTCTTTAATTACAATATTTACCTTAACCATATCAATATTTTGCTTTGTTTTGTTTTGGTATTTAGGAGTACAGATGTATTTAGGTCTATTGATTTTCTCCTGATGTTTAGCTGATGCCACACTGGCTTTCCTTTTCTTGACTTTCTGCATTTACCCCAGATGTTTTCTATTGTCTTGACTTGTAGACTTTGGACGAATATTCCTGAAAAGGTACGCTTAGCTTGCCTCTCATTGTGGTAAGCTTGGAAACACTACAAGCAATCCAGAATGGATTCTACATCTAGCAATTATAACTAGAGATGTCTCTTCCACACGAATGGTACCTATTTACACTTCCCTGTTGTTTACATGGACAATTCACTTGACTGTTTTAAGTAAACACAAAGGTCAATAAAGAGTTTTCTCAATAAAATGCTTTCAAAAGTGGATGGGGTTAGGGTGGGGTGAGGTGAGGCGAGGATAAAGAATGTCCTGTTGATGAATACAGCTATAAAGCTGCAGCTAGATTCTTAGCTACAAGTCTAGACTTGTTTACATCTGGCACTGAAGAGATAGGGACTCATGCAAAATAATGAAAAACTTTAAACTAGTTTAAGCAGATAGCCATTACATCTTATACATTATGTTGCATGTGCTTGCAAGGCCCAGAAAAAGAAATGTCCTTACCTCCAACTCCTGCTAACTCTTCAACCCTCACTTAAAATCTAATCTTCAAAGGATAAGTGCACAAGTGAAAGTGTTAGCAGAGGAGAGAAGCCAACAGAAGCTATAGATCTTTCTGAGAAGTTCCAGATGTTCAGTCCTCTTTCCTGTTTAGCTATAATCTTAATGCATCCCCTCTCCCAATCTGCTTCTTATTCATTAGCTTGTTTCTCTGCAATCAATGGCTGCATTTATGATGATTATGATGATGATGATGATGCCGCATTTCTCCCAACAAGGGACCGAAAGCAGCTCACAACATTAAAATTCACAAACAGTAATTTAAAAACACAATAAGTTAAGTATTAAAAGATAAATTAAACAATACATGATTTAAAATACAATTAAAAGATTAAAACTTGAAAACATATCTAATCTAACATATCAGTAGTTCCCAATCTTGGGTCCCCAGATGTAGTTGACCTATGACTCCCAGAAATCCTGGCCAGTACAGCTAGTGGTGAAGTCTTTTGGGAGCTCTAGTTCAAGAACATCCGGAGACCCAAGGTTAGGAACCACTGATTTAGATATTACCAATAAAAGACTCACACCAAACTACTTGCCAAGTGTTACTGCACATCACTTTTTCTTGCATTCATACAAGTAATTTGTGAGTGGAGAGGCTTAACAGATAAAATACCCATATTTCTGTTCAAAAGCAATATAAAGGTAAAATGACAGAGGCCCTTCATAATGGCCTACAATTTGAGCAGCGGAGGTACTTCACCATCCCATGTGCTCATTGTCTAGGAAGACCATTTTCCAAGCAGTTTTTTTATTTGCAGAAAACAGAATTGATATTATTTCGATTCATAAACGATCTCTTTGTCTCTTCAAATCCTTGTAAAACAATTAAACCCGCATACTTTCAACACCCCCAGATACACAGCACTCATCTTTTTATTTGAAACTCTAAAACTTAAGGAAATGGGTTCCTTAAAAACACAAAACTATCAGCTCATTTGACACTAAACTAAACAAATCTAATTTTTTGTATTCTAACTATTTTAGGAAGAAAGGTAAAAATATTTAAGGGCAACATAAGTGTTGAAATACACTAAATTTCAAAAGAGTATAAATTCCACGCTGGACATAGTAGTACATTTGCTTACTTGTAGGGATGTGACAGGTATACAAAAATAATGTTGTTAATGCTAAATCTGAAAATGTGCTTAGTGTACAATTTTGAAAACAATGAAACATATTTTAAAAAAACCAAATATCTAGATTTCAAAGGATTATGAGTTTGCATGTATGCACTGAAAAGGTACCATCATGAACAGAACAAGGTTTCCTTGTACTAGAAATAATTTTCTCAAGTTGTCCAGTTCTTACAAGAACAGTGTGCAATAAAAAGAACCAAAATCAATCCCAAATCTGTGTTGACTGTATATACAAGTTCAAGTTTCATGAACAGTAGCATCTTCAGGAGGAAGGAACTGGCAGTAAACAATAGATAAATGCTTACCAGGAATATTGTGTATTGTTATTGCTAAGATGAGCAGCATGATCCGCCTCCAGCTGCTGCTTGGTGGCACTGGAGTGCTGTCTCTGAAGGTCTGGGATGGAGCAGAACCATCTAGCTGACTACCTCCAGTACCTTTCCTCCTCTGATAGGGCTCCCCATTTTCACCTTTGTCTACAATAAAAAAAGAAAGAAGTAAGATGTGTGGTCATTCTAAAAATGTTTACAACAAAGCATGAGAGAAACAACTATAATAGGCCTCAACAGAAAGTTGCTTGAGTTTTACCAAGCTGGACTGCAAGCATATGCAAAACACGAGGCCACAACGTGTGCAGCTTAGCAAAATAAGAATTAAATAAAATCTAAATCATCAAACTACAAAGAAGCATGGCAGGATCATCACTGTCACTGCAAAGGCTAAAGAACAAGACTTGCTTAAAGTCATGGAGGAAGTTGTGGCATAGCATGAAACTTGATCAATATCTCCTATGCATGTATAAGATAGCACTGAAAACAGAAAGGCCCTTTTGCTTTAGAGCAGCCAAAAAGATAAGTGTATGCTTAAACAGAAGGTAACGGGCAAAGGTCTGGCAGGCACAATATCTTCCATCACTGTGTGATGGGGTTTGGCAATACACTCTTTTCTTTCTGCTTTCTTCTGGCAGCAACTTGAATCTTTGCAAAGCCAAGTCAGAAGGCAAAGAGCTTGCTTGATCAGCCGGACTGCCACCATACTGTAATAATTATACATGCTATTTCTTCTGAATTTCTCCTTGCCACTTAGATGTTAAATGAATGGTAGTCCCTTTTAGGTCCAGGATTGTGAGCCTCCAGGCTGACATGCTCTCATGAAGTGAGCTACTATGGATCTGACAGGTGAAGGTGTAACGGTATATAAATCACCACCCAAGCAGACATCTTCTAAAGCGTGAAAGAGTGGGTGTTCATGTGAGCAGAGGGAGCACGGGCTGAAAACTTGTTGAACTTCGAGGGAAGACTTGAACAATATGGGCAAGACATTATACTCTTCAATGACAAAAGACATTGGAAGGTATGCCAAGGTTATCACATCACATAACAGCAGTTATTAAAGGAGTTCACAGTGTGAAGTTTAGCAGTGGAAAGGGAACACAGGAGAAAAAGATTAGAGATGTCTGACACAGAAATGGAACATGCAGTTGTTGGAAGAGATGACAATCATGTGTTAACTATCTTTCAAACAGATTTCTCGGTCTCACTCTCCTCTCCTCTCTGACATGTTGGAAAGGTCTGGCTGATTTAAAATCTATCAGAAGCAAACCAAATAGAAATCAGGACAATACAAAGGGCAAGATGTGCAATGCTGTCAGCTGCAGTACCGATTCTTTGAATTTTCTCTGTTCAAGCTAGAAAAAGCTGATAAAGAAATAGGTGTTCCTGAACTTTACATAGGCAACAGCTGTGCTCAGAATGCAAAGAAGATCTGACATTTTAGATGCATTTTAAACTCTTCTTCCCCACCCAGTTTAATTTTGCTAGCAGACAAGCAAGTGCCAGAAGTCATTTGAAGGTGGTTCTAAAATAATGTCAATTGCTTCCCATGCCATTTCCAAGCAAGTTAATGTTAAATTGTCATGTTGCACTTAACGTGGTGCCCATTAAGAATTCAGTATATTAAAAATGGTTCTGCAAATGAGCACGTGAAGCCAATAAGGAAAGGTAAAAGGTTCTTTCTAAACTTGCGTCTTGCCATGCAGAATAATAGTTTCACACAGAGAGAGGTGGAGACAGCTTAAAAGCATTCAACGGTGCAGTAAAAAAAATGTTCTACTGAAGCTTTTGGTGCAAGGTGTTCGAAAATACTTTAAGCTATCAAGAAAAAAACATAAAATGGCAATTACGCACATTGCTATATGCAGCCCCCTCCAGGCGTTGGACAGTTTTACATTCTGAAAAATGTTAATGGCATACTGTTCAGGTTGCTTTGACTACTAAGTTGAGATGGCTTTGTCCTTTTTGAAGCAAAGGAATCTAGCTCACATTATTGAACTAGAATAGACCTATTTGAATCAAAGAAACTTTAGAGAATAAATTCAAGGATATAGGGCACCACTTAGCTAAAGCTAGTTGGGAGAAATGTTTCAATCCTGTGCTCAGTTACCTAAGAAACAGTCAAGTCAAACTCATTTTATTATTTCCAAACACACATATTTTGGGTTGCGCATCCCAAAGAAAACAAAGGAAGGAGACACAAATAATCAATTTTTGAAAGGGGTCCATAGTATAAAATGTACTCTTTAGGATTTCTCTGAACAAGAAACAGCAACATGTGCCCTCAAATTCTGGAGGCATTCAGAAACTAATTAGAAACCTGAAAGTTTTGTGACAGGAGAGGAGCAGATAATAGATCAGGAGTGTAAAGCGTTAAGCAGACAGAAGCACAATCCAGGTACACTGGAAAGAGTTTCACGAGTTATCTCTTCTCTCAGCAACTCTCTACTGACAATTAGCTCATGAGAATGACAAAATAGATGATCTAACTCATAAAGATGTTACTACAATTAGTGAAAACAAAATATATTACAGTATATAGAAAAATCATTGCCATCATGCACTCTCTATCATGAAAAAGGAAAGCTCTGCTGCAGGTTACAACCCCTGAAGAAGTGTTGTTGTTCTCTGAAGCACATACATCTCCCCACATTCTTGTACTGAGCAACTGGCCTTGTAAACTAAACTCGTCTATTACTATGTCTGATCTATGTCTATTGGAACACTATCACAGTGAACATTAATGGGAACAGGGCCTATCCTCATCTCCACTGAAGAATGACATCTCATTTTAATTGAGCCGGAGCCACTTCTTTAACATGGGTGGGACAGGTGAGATATATCAGCTTTAATGCCAACTTCTCAATCCAAATAGTTAAGTCTATATGGTACTGTCGTCGTGACCAGCTCTACCACAGGGCTTCCTATAACAGCTTCAAGAGAAATAAAGCCCACCATGCCTCTTCCTACAGCCTCTTCATTACAAAATCTATGTTCAGTGAGGGGATCAGGCTAATTCATTCCACCCTGCTTTGTAGGACTATGGTATAATTTAGGTGAGCAGCCTCAGAAAATCAAGATCCAATAAAAAAGAATCCATATTGAAACACAAAACAACCACCTCAGCATCTCCAAGAACAACTGCCAGATTTATGCTCAGTTCCTTCCGCCTCAAGCAACACCATCTGGAAATCAGGCCCATTCTCATCTACTTATAGCAGCAGAGTAGGTGAAGCATGTCTGCGTTACACTGAAAGAGTGCTCTGAATAGCAATATTTGCCTGTACGTTAGACACACAGCAAGGTATTTGCAACTTCCCATGAGAGACATATTGTGCAGCCTAACAGAGATGTCAATATGGCACCATTCAAATCATCTAAGTATTCCCTTATGTATATTCCATTCTGTTTCTCACTGTGACCACACTGATCTTTTTATATCTCAATCACCTTCCCCACGGAGGGAAAGGCAGAGATGGTTAAGGTTGTGAACGGATATATACACACCCCTCAGGGAACAATACAGTACATCTTGAGGACATGTTGAAATAGAAGGTTCTTTAGAAGACACTGAAAAAAGAGTCTGCTAGATACAATAAATGAACACAGTGATAGTACTAGAGCGGGAGCAAACTCAAGCCTCTGTAGGCAAGTAATGTCACTCATTTTAAGAGCAAGGAGAATGCTTAAAAAGTAAAATTTGCGACACCTTGCAGATCTCACGTCTAGGTCATGGGAACAGTAGTTCTGCCAAACACTCCAATGGGAACTGTCCAGCATCACAGAAAATTAATAGTACCTTGGACAGATCTATGAATACCCAAGCAAGCTGTGTTACTGTTGCTGGCAGGCTTCATAGCTATGGGCTTATTCACATTAAAGCAATAGTTCGAAATACATGTCAATGTAACATAAATTTAGTTACACTGACTGAGTCACTTGTGCTTGAATCACAGTTTGAGTTCCCTTGGAACAAGCATTTAATTTGGAGTATTCTGACTCTTGCTAGACATGTGCATTCTCTCTCCAACCCAAGGTTGGAATTAACAGAGGCAGATGGGCAATGAAAATGTGCAAACAAAACACACAAGCATACAGCTGTGGCAATGGAGGAGACATGGGCTGTAACTGGCTGGCTGGAGATAGGAGGAGAGAGAGCTGGCAGCAGCATTTTGCCCACCTGCCTGCCTTCCAGCCACCAGTTCTTTCTCTGTGTGTCCATATGTTGATTTCTCCTCCATCTACCTGTCCCTCACTTGCATCAGCTGGCAGACAATGAGCCTTCCTCCTACCCACCTCTTCTCCCTCCCCAGCAGAGGAAAGAAAGACACACACACACACATACACTCACAAATTCAGAAGTAGCACAATGAGGGAGCTATTTTCAACAAAGGAGTGCTCATAGGGCAATTTGATTTATAAATCAGCAATATAACACCCAAATTAAAATAAGTTGACCTCTAGTGGAGAAAGGAAAAACTTTCTGATGGTCCAGAACACACGATTCTCCATCAAATTAATCTGCTCTTGCCCATGCATCATGTATTCACCCATTTTAACAACAAATCAAAATAGGCTAAACTCAATTTAAATGTTTTTAAATTAATGTAACCACCTCGGTTGAGCAAAACCCTATGTTAGTCCTACCTACAGTAAGCTGGCCTAATTTAATGGACTTCAGCTTCCCTTCATTTTCAATGGTCTACTCAAGAAAGGACTAATGTTTGGTTTTCACTGTTTTTTTCAAAGTCTATTCAAGCAATGCATCAATTATTTTTTATTTTCTCAGCATACTGACATATCTGTTTTCATCTCTCAACTTTACCCTTTAGTCACACTGTACAAATATATATATTATACAATATCACCATACTGATTACAATATTAAAAGATGGATCATCTTGTCACTCTTCTTTATAGACTTTTGACTATGTCCCTAGCTGTTCTCTACAGCTCAGAATTCAGGCACTAGAATATCAATTCATGCCAACAATCTAACCTCTGTGATCAGAATGGATGGACAGATTTAAATGACTTAGTTAAATCACCAAGGAAAGAGATCCAGTTAAACTTGATTTAAACCAAATGCTCAACCTTCAAAATCATGTATTTTCTGAACAATGATGTGTATGAAATGGTTCTGT